GATGTAAAATTCTGCAAATGTTCAGGTGGAGCTTTATAAATCAATCAGTAGATTATGATTATGAGCAGTAGCAAACTCAGTTTTATAGCAGTGTGCTCCCTTTATAATCATGTCAGCAGGGAAAAGCTTTGCTGCTGGCCATCTGCTGTTCAGGCAGGCTGCACTAACCTTGCACCTGCCTGAAAATAAAGGTGTTCTTTAGAAAGAGACACCAGAATTGTATCCAAAATTATTATTTAGAGCTCCAAAATATTGTCAAAGTCTGAACCAGCAATGGATAGAGTATAACTTAGGATTACTGAGTTATGTTGCATTTAAGAGAAATACATTATATGGGTCTGAATTTCTTACAAAGTCGTTTATCCCTTATGGAACAAACAAACAAACAAACAAAATTGGTCTGAAAAACAGATAAATTTCTAGTGAATATTTTTTACATTGCTGATTTCAATATATCTGTTTTAAAAATGTAAGCCACTAATTTTCTCTGGTTATCAAACCAGATTCAGTGGCTAGGAGTTGAAGTCTAATTTATTCAGACTTTAAATGCAAACCATGAAGGTCTTACTATCCCCAGTTTGGTGAGAAGAAACAGAAATCAATAAATAAATTTCAGTTGTAAGGGACTTGTACAGAAGAGACTGGGATTAGGATTTCCAGGTTTATCTGTTACACAGGGCAGAAAACTACAAAGGGCAGAAAACTTATTGAGCTGCACTTTTTGCTGCTCATAAATATCTGATGGTTTAAATACCAGTCCTCCCAAGATTCATGGCTTCCAATGATGAAATGTGGTTTTAGCTCAGCAGCACATCTCCTGGTGTGGGATAGGTAGCTGGAAACTGGACCAAGACTTTAAATAATGGCCCTATCATTTTTAATTGTTCAGTAATAATAATCATTGTGAACTCATTTAGTATTAATTTGGTTGTTATAAAATGCTTCTATAGATCCTCTCAAGTAATTAGTTTGACCTTCATTTTGAAGGATAACCAGTGACTGTCTGGTGTTCAAGCTTGACTTGGAGCAGAAGGCAGGCTGGGAGCAGATTCCTGAGCCCCAAGTTCAGCCTTTCCAAATTTCCTTCCCACCCCTTGACAAGAACTTGGTTGGATAAATGCAACAATGACCTGGTTTGCTGGTTATATATGAATAATGAGACTTTATGTTCAAAATGAAAAGATTTTGTGGCTGTCCTGTGCCTGTGGATCTCCTTAATTGCTGTGATGTTTGAGGTAGTTAAAACTTCTCCACTCTCGTGGGGGTAATGATGCTTGTGCATCAGCACAGGAATGTTTAATGAAGAGTGGCTGGGACACGAGCGTATGCCTTAACAGCAAGTTTAAACAGAAAGAAAATAAAGTGTAGTTAAGATAAATTTCTTCAAAAGGGGCAACACCAGACCAAGAGGGAGGGACAAAATTCCCTGAAAAGATAGTGACTTCATTTGTCCTACATGACTTCAATGAGATCATAATTTTTTTTTTTGAGAAATAGTGATGACTTTGCTAAACTGAGCTTTTAATGCAGAAGCCAGTGACCCATCCTACACTGACAGACAGAGATGGATACTGCAAATACAATAATTTGATTGCCAGAATATGACAAAAAGTAGATAAGATATTTTATCTTTTTAATACACTAGATTATGCATTCTCCTTACTTTGGTATTTCTGATATATTTTCGAGAATCAATTTTCTCTCATGTAAATGGTTCTCTGGAGAATTTCATAAGTAGAGGCAGTAGAAACAAAAAACAAAACCTGCCATTAAGACAAAAATATTTTCCATTGTTGGCACAAAAAATAATCCAAATATGCACATGGCCAGGCAAAGCACTCTTTGAGTTTGTTCAGAGCAATGTCATGCTGTTCTGTCAAAAGCAGCACAAATATCTCACGAAGTCAGTCAAGACGAGCAGCCCAAGTTGTAGACACTTGGTAAATCTCTCATGTTGTTAACCAAAGGAGTCTCAGCCTGAGAGCTGTACACATTTTAAAATCAAGAAGCAGTAGGAGTGATGATCATTTGCTAACAGATATGGATGCATCTCAAACCCATTGGGAAGCCAAACATTCCCTGTCTGCCAAGAGACAGGAAAGAATTTTGAGCACGGTTGAAACTTTTAAAGGACAACAGCAATTAATCTCCTTCATTCATTACCAGGTTATGGCTGAAATAATAATTGCACTGAAGGCAGTGACCACACAGTGAATAGAGAACGTTCCACAAGTAATGGCTGCTTCAGTAAATTCCCGAGTGCTCTTGGTCAGGATAGAACTGAACTCAGTAATTTCCAGCCCTCTTTCTCATTACCCAGCCAGGGCAATTGGTATCAAATCCCACCAGAGGTTCACATCCCACATCACTGCTGTGCAAACTCAGTCTGCATGGATACAACTGATAAAATTTACTCACCACCTTCCAAGAAAGAGGGACATGAGAGATCCATGGTGGAAAGTACCTTTGTTCTATACAAGGTTGAGAAGAATTCAGGGGAAAAAATTACTTGACATTATATAGGGCTGACAGCGTTACAGGGCTCATTCTGCTTTCTCAAAATCCAGGTTATATTTCTTGGCATCTCCTCAGACTTTATCAGAACAGAGATTCTGATTCTGTTCTGTTCATTTTCACTGCAGCCCAGATTTTCTCCTGTCACCACATGTACCATTGCTTTCCTGCTTTACACCTTCCCTCCCGTGGAAACTTCTCATTTCCATTTGGCACTTCTGTTCCCTGCCTTGCAAACTGCTTTAATTCTTTATTTTAGCTACTTTCAGGTGGCTTTGACCACCATCAAGCCTCAACACATCTACAGCCCCAGACTAGATAGATCTCTTCATGTGCCCAATATATACAGACATGAACTGAAAGCAGCTGCTGTCAGGTTTGGCTTCAGCCCAGGCATTGTGACTGGAATTTAAAATCCATCTAATCCATGTTAGCAGACACTGTCAAAATTTCCTCAGACCTAGGTGTCCTGATTTTCACCTTTTATTTCCAGGGTGATACATTTTTCTAGTTAGAAACTAGTTCAGATTTCCCTGATTCTTGTTAAAATACCCACAAAGAGGTGCCAGTCTTGGATGTTCTTCCAGGAAAGTTTAAATCTATGTGCAAGAAAGAGAAAAATACAATTTCTTTTTTTATTTTTCTAAGGTGGTGAGTCAATATTAACTGTTTTCCTGTTTCTTTTGCTGTGCTTCCCCCTTCTGTGCAAATATGTGCAGAGTTGCTGCTGTTATATAAAGAATGCAAAGCAGTAGTTTATTTTCTTCTTCCAAAATAAATATTCTGAACATTTTTTTCTTGTGTTCTTTTCCCCTTTGCTGAATATCCTTGTTGCTGTTATTTTTGGTAACATGACCCTGGTTGAAAAGAAATCATCTGTACAGAAACAAGAGGACTGAATTCGGGCAGAAATTGCTGCAAAGAATAAATGCTAGACTGATGTTTTCAAAAGAATAAATGCTGTTTTCAACACATATTTTTGGTAAGTGCACAAGTAATATTCTGCTGTAATCTATTTCAGAAATCTTTTGCATTGTGTAAGTCACTCCTTTCATGAATGCCTGTAGCTGGGCAGATCACAATATTGTCAAAAGGTGTTCAAACATGATTAATATTTCTCATGTCAATGGTTATTTTCTGAGCAAATGGATTCTTCGAGATTTGAGGTGTTAATGATATATGAAGACTGAACTCAGTAATCAGCATGCAGATTTTGATGTTTAGTAAGAAACATGGCATAAATCAAGAGGCATTGTAATCTCTAATGGATTTTTTTCACCAAGGTGCTATTATTAGTTTAATTTTTAATTTTTTTCAACTTTTCTCATTCTTACTTAAATGGTCTTTTATTTTCTTTTTCTAATTAGAGTTTAGTATTTCACATTTGGTTGCCAAAACTGAAAATGTGTATTCTTTGCTTACAGTAGATGTTGGAATTATTCCTTGCCATAGCCCTGGTATGAAGTTTGTTTTAAAACATGAAAGATCCATTTTAGATTCCTGAAAAGCGGCATTAAAATTTCTTGTTAGATATTGCTGATTGTGATTGAAAACCACTTCATTAAATTACAGTTCAGAGAGATGAAGGACATCTTGCAGCAATGAAAATGGTTGCAAATTTAATTAAAACATTAAATTATTGTTGGAATAAAGGTCATAATCATAAAACCTAATTGAAGGAAGTGCATTAGCATGTACCCTAAGGTATCCTTTCCACTTCCAAATATCTATTACATATTTGACATTTGAAGAGGAAAGAGGTTCCGTTTTATCTGGATGGATGAACGGCGATGGGGAGAAGTGTTATACATAATACAGTGTAAGAGCCCCATTTTTCAAAACATCATTTGCTCCTGGCATAGGTGCAAAACTCTCATTTTATGTCTCTGACTGAGGAAATTTCCCTTATTTATTGAGCATCATGGACCTGCACAGGGCAGAGGACATCATATCATGTACTTAGACTTTTCCCTGTGGAAAAAGTGGAACTTTTCCACAGCCTTCAGAGAGTACCCTGGTATAACTCTGGGTGTATTTATGCAATTTTTCACTCCATTTTCTCTCCCTGCAGCAGGTGAGGGAGCAAACACTGCATAGGGAGAGAAAGTAGAATCTGCAAAACATCTATCCATAAAACCCTGCTGCAAGTACACTGCTAATGCTGCTACAGGACAGCTGTCACCTTATCTCCTGGGAATCACTTTTTCTAAATAGAAAATACCCCAAACTGGAATAAACCTTCTTATTAATGATTTCTCCTAAATACTCAGCAGTAGTCTCTGAATTCAGATAAAGTCTTGCAAAATGTTACCCATACCTTTCTGCATTCACTGCTATCTTTTGGAAAAAGGAGAGGATTTTTTTTTAAATATCTCAGAGGGGAAAATCAGAGTGAGTAACTTGAAAAATTAAGATATCTCTGTATAAATATCTTTTTCATGTATATTTGGGAAGAAAGTCAGGATGGCCAAACTGGATTTCATAAATCAGTTGCAGATTGAAATGCTTTATTGCAGCAAATCACTTTACACTGTGGAAACAAAATAAGAATCATGCATCAGTTTCTGACAACAAAGTAATTCTTAAGATCCTTAAATAGCAGAAATCCCCTAAACCTTCTCTAATGCCCATCATTTTTCCTTGCTGTTTCTCCAGACGTTGTTCCAGTGGCCATTTCCTCCCATTCCTGACCAGTTGTGCCAAAGCCGTGTGAGGAGCAGCTGAAGACAGCTCCGCCTTTCTTCTCATCTGATAGTTCAGGTCCATGGTATTTGCTAGAAAGCTAATGCTGAGAGAATTAGTAAAATACTTTGTAAAACCCAGGGTTTTTTGGAAGTTTAAATCTACTTGTGTTAAATTTTCCCTTTTTTTCCTTTTTCTGCAAGTACCAAAGGCTTCTTTGCCCTCTCCTACTTTACTTTTTCCTTGTTTCCCCGTGCTTTCTTATATTCAAATGCATTCCTTTATAAGCAAAAATATTTAATACTAAAACCAAAGGAGATGAATCAGAAATTGGAGAAAATATCAGATATTACTTCTTGGAATTATAATATGTATCCTTGTTTCCCAAACAGAGGATTTCAAGATCCATACTGCTATTTTTCTATTCTGTTATATGGAAGCTTCTGAATCCCTCATTACTTGCTTTACAGAGAATTGTGACATGTGACACAATGGGACACAGATTTCAATACTGTTTGGATCTGCACTGAGATCTCTAGGAACCCTGGCATGTAAGTGAATCCTAGAATTTGGCTGTTTTGGCAAATGTCAGCTCTCAGCAAACACTTAAATGAGCCAGTAGAAACCCTCCATAATAATCTTACAGCCACTATCTGAATAGGGAGTTCTGATCTATTGTCTTAATTGCTGGTCTAAATTAATCCACATATCCTGAAAGGTAATAGAAAGCATTCAGGATCATTGTATGAAACTTGTGCAGCTGCATCCTCCAGTGCTGTATTCTCTGTAGGTTATCTCACTGCTTTATCTCTCTGTCCCCCTCACATGAATAATTTTTAAAAAAATAATTTTCAAAGGAATTCAGCAGGAATTATTTATTACAATTTTTATCCTTTAAAAACTGAAAGAACTAGATTAATTGCATTGTATTTTATAGTATTTGAAACATCAGAAAGAAATATGATAGGAAAATTAATATTTGACACTTGTGTTCATTAATGAAATTGGAAGGGATTTCCAGTTTACTGATAAGGCACTTCTGAAGACCTATTTAGAGTTCCAGCCTGAGCATGACACTGATGAAAGAGGTGAAGGAAAAAATATACATGGACCAAATGAAAAAGGAGTAGAAAGCAGAAATATTTAGAGCACAGGGGGCTAAAATGGCACTGGGTAACTGCAATAATTTCAGGGAACAAGGATAAAATGAGAAGTGCCTGAGAGGAAGCTATATATTTTAGGAACTAAACTGAACTTGAAATTAAGATTGAGGCATTGCTACATTTCTCTTGCTCAAATAAGCAGAAGATTTTCTCTGATAAATAGTTTGGGCTTTTCTCCTTCTGCTTCCCAGCATCCTAAAACTGTTCATTATCACCACATCAAAAAAGACAGATAAAGGTATTCTAGAACAGCTGAGACATGAAACTTAAGTGAAAAATGTGTAGATTTTGTTTACTTGTTCTTTTGCCAATTACTGACAAAATCTAAATGTAGTTTATTGCTAAGTGAGAGAAGGGTCGTCCTTAATTACAAAAGTCAAAGTTACTTTTCTCTTATAAGCTGTATGGGTTTATACCTTTTCTGTCTATTGTCTCTGAATCAATCAGTATAAAACATATCTGTGGTAATCAGAATGGTCTCGTGGGAGCTGCTGAAACAAATTAACAAAACTGAGGGACATTTACCATTTAGAGATTAGCAGCACAAGAACTCAAAATTCCTATCACTTGCTTTAGCATGGAGAAAAACCTCTCAACCTACAAACAGTTTAGGAAAAAAAAGGAAACAGGATGAGTCTCATGATCTGTTTATTTTTGATCACTTTTGTGGGTTCTTATCTATGTCAGTTTTTTATGTAGGTAAAAAAATTTGCAGTTTAAAAGTTTTCTAGTTTGAGTTATTGGCATCATTGCATTCCATTTGAGTTACATAAACAGATCACACCCCATCACCAGTTGTCAAACCTAGCTGGTTCTTATGACATTAATTTTTCCAATTTCAAATGCACATCATCCATAATTACTGAATACCTGACTTCCACTTCATTCATTTGAATTTGAGGCATAAAAGAAGTGCCAGGTGCTTTGCTGAATCAGGAAAACTGAACAGCACATAGGAAAATGAGAAGCAAGAGCTGCAAAGAAAACCAGATTCACTTCTACTTATTGTTTGTAAGTACTTCCCAAAGCTGCTTGGAGCTCACATGGAAGCTGCAATATCAAATCAAATGGCAGTAAAGGCAAGCAGGTAGGGAAAAGGAGAAATCTGGTAGCACCCAGGGAAAGTGAGGCAGTGCTGCTGCTTCTGCGGCTTCAGTGAATTGCCAGTTTACATCTTAGAAACCTTGCAAGACTGCAGTGAAGCATTTAATGTAATACAGAGGGTTCTGAATGCTGGCAGACAAAAAATCACAATACCTTGAAGAGCAATGCCATTATCTCAACATTTACAGTGATTAAAATTTTTCTAGGCTTTTTATTTCCCCTTTCTCGTCAGGAGTTTTTTCCCTTCTGACTGATCATTCATTTTCAGTCTGTTCCTGAACAGCTTTATCAAATGAAGGCTGGGTGGCTCTGTAATGAGAACACATCCAATAAAAGTGCTTTCAATTACATTTTAAAACTGCAAAATATCAAATTACTGCTGCATGAGGATACTCCATTGAAAACTCCAGGATTACAAGAGAGGTCATTATGTTTCCCTGCTATATGGCTTTCAAGTATAATACCAGGGTGTCTCCTTAAATATGATTCATTGGAAACGTTACAGTGAACAAACCAATTCTTCATTTCTAGAGCTCTGCAATCAATGAAAGAGTTCATACAAAGCAAGGAACAGTGTAAACTTTAATTTCTTTATTTTGATCACTACTGGAATTTTTGGATGGTAAAATAGAAAATATTTTCTTAAAATGTGATCTAGTTTTCACTTTATCTGTGATTTACTGAATTCTAATATTTCTCCTCATTCCAGTTCTACCCATAACTGCTTCCTTTCATCTTTTGGTTCTCATTCACCAGCTGACATTGGGCTGGTAGAGAACTGATGGACTTGCAGGAGATCCAAGCTTAGCTCCTTATTTTGTCATTCCCATAATGCCCCTCAGAAATTAATGTTCCAATGTAGTTAAGTTCCATTTGCAAAAGACATTTAGATACTCAGAAAGCAGTGGAGCAGAAGTGCTGAATCACTTTGTTTTAGAAACCTTACCCAAATCTCTCTGTGGTCAAGTTCCCAGTTTCTCAAGTCAGTCCTTCTTTATCACTGGGATTAGATTTTTCAAAGACGCCATGTCTGGCACAAATCACATTTTTTATAAGAAAACACCAAGCCTCAGGCCTTTCCATTCAGCATTCATTTTACCTGCCTAACCATTAATATCACACATTTATTAATAAAGTTGCTTAGGGCAACACAGCAGTTGTGTTCACTAGAATAAGCCATGAGTGCAGTTTCCAAAGTAGGAAAGGTGGGAGTTATTTCCTGCAGTATCACCTGGAGCACCCCAGGCTCAGGGTGGGCATGAGGTCCTCCAGCAGTTTGTTCCCTGGGCACAAGGAGGGTCCTGTCAGGTGTGAAATGTTTGTGCCTTGCTCAAGGTTCAGATCATGAGGAGCTGTGAAAGAGAAGCAGGAAGGTGGATTTCATTACCAGCAAACAAAAATCGTGACTGCAGTTCCCAAGTGGAGCCCCAGACCAAACTTAGACCACTCAGTAAAGTGTGTGCATGGAAACAGGAGCAGCAGGATTCCTGGGTGTGGGAATTCAGAGCTCTGTCCATGCCCTCTGGCTTTGGAGCAGATGCCACAGAGCCCAATGGCTCCACCATCACACACAGATGAGGGAATCTCACCTTTCAAGCATCAGCTTTGTGCAATTTTTAACAACATACTTTACCTTTCACACATTTTTGTGGTATCACAGAACACTATATTCCCGCTGCCAGATGGAATGCATAGTTTACCAGAACTGAGTTAACTCTCAAAAGCAAATCTGTTTTCCTCTCCCCTTGGCAGATCCTGCCTGAGAGCAACATGCCTCTCTTTAAGGCTGCATAGGGCCAAAACCTCAGGCAGCAGGGCCTCTGATTCCTGCACTGCTTGCACACCTTAAGGAGTGTTTCTGTAGCATTTTCTCTTCTAGACTGCATGAAAAACATCACATGGTACTGAGATTCCAAACAATTTTTACTTATTTCCTGCTTGATTTGTATTTTACATTAAGGATTGTTGTCTAATGATTTGCTTTCTGTTGTTCATTGAGCAACTCAGCTTCCAGCTGTGATAACAAAAACATCTGTCCTTTTGCTGCTGCTAACGTGGGAGGCCATATGGGCACTGAGAAATTCACAGTACAAGAGCTGCATGGTAATGATCAGCAACTTCCCTTCCAGCACAAGGGGTTTTGTGATGATATAAAGTGTGATAGAATAGCAGAATAAAATACCAGAAAAATTCAGGTGAGCTCTCTGGAGGTCACCTAGTCAGAGCAGAGCTGGCTGGGTCAGGTTGCTCACAGATTGGTACAGTCATAGTCCAGGTAATTATCAAAGGTGCAGGAACTGGACTAAAACCTATGGAGAATAACTCTGTCAGTGCCCCTCAGACCATTTATCCCTATCCAATCAATCCATTAATATACAGAAAGGAGTATTAGGCATGACTTCAAATGTTCCATCCTCCTTAACATTAAAAAAATGTATTTGTGTAGTTCCAGCTATTGATTGCACCAAATAGGGATCGTGTCAATATTCATAAACGCCTGAAGGGAGGGTACAAATTGAAAACAGGGAAAAATGGCATTTTTAAAGCCAGCATGCCAAAGCTGCAAGGAAATTGTGCATGTGCAAAGATATTTACAGTTATTGGTACAAACTAAGTAAAAATGCCCGTGATTGCTCTGACCTTCAGCTCATTACATTACTAATTATCTTCCATATAAAATAAACACGTTTTAATTATATTTATGCACAAGTGCATCTGAAGTTTGGATAAACATTCATGAATAAATGAAAAACCCAATGAACACCAGACTTTATAAGAAAAACACTGACAGAAGACTTAATTGCAGCTTTGAGAGTGGTTCTGATGCAACATCAGCCCACCTAGCATAAGTTTTAAATTATATTTGATTACAATTATTATAATCTTTTACATGAAGCAATCACTTGACTGACAATTGCATGGAAGAGAGAATAGAAACCTAGCAACATAACAATTCTTGTTATTATATATGGACCCTTGCAGAAAGCAAAGTCTGCTTGAAAACTTTGCCTTTAGTATTTGATGTGAGCTGTAATTCAGCTCAGTGAAGAATCCTTAAAGTCCTCTATGTCTGTGGTCAAGAGAGGAGTTGTGGTGTTCAGGCACCTGTGGATCAAACCCATCATTTCTGAAAGATTTGGCAGGGGTTTTGTGAATGATCCATTGAATGATCCTGAATTTGACATTTTTGACACTATCCCTGACTTGGCTATTTCTCTTTACCTGCCCATGTCTCCTTGCTAGGATTGCCTTGGTGTGTGATGTCCCTCACAGAGTTGGTTTGCTGCCAACAGGGAATTATACAGCATATGAAAGGATGGACCTGTCATACATAATTCCAGACATTATAAATCCAGCCTTAAAAGGGTTCCTAACTTTGATTTTAAGTGCTTGTCTCCAATTTTCCAAAGTGGTGACTACTTTTGCTACTACAAGTACCACAAGGACCCCAAGTACTATACCACCAACTGGTGCAAGTGCTTTTAATGTATGCTACTGCTTATAAAATAGTTCTAATCCAGAATTTCTCTTCTCTGCTTTTCATGCTGTCTGGACTATTAAGCACAGAGATACCAGGCTGCTTACAGGTCATATCAGATATCCTTTAAGTGCATTGGGTTCCCAACACTTTTATCTTGGCAGACTGAACAGTCCAGTGCAGGGCATGTGGGACAGCAGTACAGCTAAATCCCAGTGTGGCTACTTCTTCAAGGCTGACAATTCCCATCTACCCCATTTTCTTGAATCATTAAAACCATGAAAATATAAAAATACTCTGTTTACAACTATGAACTGAGAATCCCACATTATATCACTCTTCTGCTGTGATCTGTTTAGGGGGAAGAATATAAATTAAGCCTATTTATTTGGCTTGAAGTTCTTGCGACTTCTTTATGAAGCACCACGAGGTCTGCAGGTCATGAAGATGTGTCTACATTTTTTTTCGGATTCAGTTAAACTGAGCCAAGAGATATCAAAACCCACCCTCTTTGCCTATAAGATAAAGGTCAAATTGTCATCATTTAAAAAGTCTCCAGAACACAGAATTTCAACACAGAAACACCAGTAAACAACTATGTTATATTTATAGTTACATTTATATTTATTCACTGATCAGATTTTCAGTGGAGTCTAGAAAAACTAGACACTTGCTATGATAAGAAGCAATTACCACATCACTTTCAGGTTAAATGATTTTATCCAAATGTCAGTAAGAAGTTTACTCAGTTATTTTTATTGCATGTTATTTTTATATACATGGCCATGGAGTATTCAGCACACATACAGAAACAGATAAATTGAGCACTTACTTACCAGATTGTACAGCACTGCAGAAAATCAGATGGAGTGTCAGTAGCTTAATTCAAATTCTTTAAAAGTACATCAAGACTAACAAAATCATTCTCCTTTTCCCATTAATATAATGTTCCTTTTTCTCCTCCTGAACTCGACAGTTTTCCATGATAAAAGAGATCTTTCAAGCAATAAAACATACTTTTTAAAGCAATTAACAGGGCCAAGAGTTTTCTAACAAAGCTACAAAAATTGATTACTGATAAAGAAAATATTTTGTTCCACTCAGATTTTCTTCTCAAACACACTTCAGTTTTATGCCCTTCTGTCCCTCAGATGTGTGTGAGCTGTTCAGGCTGTTTAAGATCAAGGAGCTTCCTCACAGCCACAGGGTGAAAAGTGTGCAACAAGGGCCTCGTGTGGGAAAGCAGAGCTAGTTCTGCATAGCCTTATGTGATTGCACAATAGAACTTGGGAAATATGGTTTCTAATATTCAGTTTCTGCTATTCTTATCCTGAGGATGAGAGCAACCAATGAACACAGGTTTTTCAGCGAAGTTAAAATTAAAAACAAAATGAGAGGCCAGTACTACCCAGCTGGGAGGTCAAGGAACACAAACTCAGTGTGGCCTTGTCCTTCCTGCCTTTGGAATGAGCCCTCTGTCTCCTGGGAGCTGAGGGCTGCTGCAGAGCACCCTCCCATGCTGAGGGTTGTAGGGACAGACACACTGCCTTCCATGCTGCTTTCCACCAGCTTTGCTTCCTGGCTCCTTCTCTGGAAACTGTCCAGCTGATTTGTTTGTGGGCCCTACAGGAAATTTCCCCAGACTCAGAGGTTTTGCTTTTGAGAAAGTTGAGTTACTGCAGAGAAAACAGGCACAAAGAGGGGAGCAAGGATAGAGATGATGTGTGACAGCAAAGACACTCTCTGATACCAAGTGCTTCAAACCTGTCTGTTCTATTCAGCAGTCATGTTCACTGCCTTGGAATTACCAATTAAAATTGACTTTTATTAATGAATCCTCTCAAAAACACATGACAGCAAATATCCCACGCTTATATCTAGTCAGATAAACAAAATGATAAGCAGTGCAAAATAAATACTTTTTGCATCACACCAAGACGAATTTCTCCCTCAAATGGGGAAACCAGCCAGCTGCCTTTGGGTGACTAAGTTACAGTGGTTGTGCTGCTCATGGAACTGAGCATCTGCTCCAGCTTCTTCCTGTGCTCAGACACCAAACAAGTCAAAGCACTGTGGTAAAATCTGTCTTGGATATTGAATACTCTCACAGCAGGCCGCTCCCCTGGTGTGATTCCTCACTTATTCCCTTCCTGCCCACACAAAAAGGGACAGTGTTAGTTTTAAATAACTTATTTCTTTTGGTGTATTCAAGAAATTTTTAGCTTTGTATACAATTCAGAGCAATTTAAATCTGTGTGTCCTGCTTTAGTCTGCAAACACTTGCTGTTCAGATATGCTTAGGAGTGCTGGCAGAGCACAGGCTCCGGAGCCTCCTGCTGTACCCCGTGAGCTGATTGTCCATGAAACCCCTCCCAATAGTGCTGAGACAGACCTTTGCTCACTTTGTGAGGCAGCATCAGTGCCACTTGCTGAAAATGATGAGTAATGAATTGTCAATAATGTAGATTTTCCTCCCGGCAGCACAATGACAAGGAGCCCTCACATCCCAGTCCTTTCTGTGTTAAAACTCTTCCAAGTAAAATGTGACCAGTTTACTGACTGCTCACCATATGCTGAGTTTAGAAGCAGTGAGGCCTTCCTGAGGGATTCAGTACATATAATGTGTCTGGAGAATTTGAGATTAACATAAAAAGTGAGCTCTCTGCTATGAGATGAGATGCTGGCAGTGACAGCTTCTAAAGGTGCTGCCTTCTGGAGATGGCATTTCAAATAGGAGCTCATTGAAAATGAAATGCACAAAGGCTTGCTGAAAAAGTAAATCCAACTTAAATTTTAGATCCTTGTGCACTCTCTGCTATTTTTGAGAAATGAAATCTTCAGTGATGTATTTATACCTGCAGATGAAAATACATCTGATTTGTCACAAAATCATTAATGAATATCCAACACTGTGTGCTCTGCCTGGATAAAACTGATCTGCTGGCATGTGAGCCCATGTGATGGATTTTCACTTGAGTAGCTTCAAAAATATTTGGGAATGTGTTCTCCTTTTTCCCTTCCAAGTTCCTTCTTCCTGCATCTTTTTGTTGCTTGTGAGCTGCACAGACCCAAAAGCTGATTCAACATCATGAGTCAGAGAGTTCCTTTCAGGATTTCTTAGCCAAGAATCAACAATGGAGAAAATATTTTGCATGGGTTTCTAGTCCATGAAACATCATTCTGTTCCTTTGAATTCAGAAACACAAAGAGAGGATTTTAATTCACCTGCAAGGTCCTGTCCTTTGAGGTTTTTTAGGTAAATTGACTTTGTGTAATGAAATTTTCATTACTTCTGGGAATAACCAGAATAATATGTTTTTAAAAGCATTGCCTACATCAGAATTGTTCCATTTCTAGTTGTAGACTATATCAAGGAGCAGTATTACAAACCATCAGATAACCAGGACAACATTTTAAAGGGTGGCTCTTAGAGATAAATTTATGTCCAGTGGGAAGGGCTGCCTGAGCAGAACCCCCAGTTTGGGAGGGTGAGGTCAGGCACTGCAGCCTGTCCATCCTCACCCTAACCCTGCACAGGCCATGCCCAGTCAGTGGAGCCGTCCCCTGCTGCAGCAAGGCTCCTGCTACACGGCTGTGCAAGGGTTCTTCAGGGTGAAGAGACAGACAAGAATCTTGGCTTCATGATCAGAAGGCTGGATTTATTAATTTATGATATATAATACATTATGACTATACTAAAAGGAATAGAGAGAAAAGTTCAGAAGCTGCTATGCTAAGAATAGAACAGGAGTAGAATAAACAAGAGAGCTCTCTCTGATTCTGTCCCAGAGAAAGCTCAGTCTCTGATTAGCCCTTAATTTTAAACATGGAACATGGGCCAATCACAGGTGCACCTGTTGCATTCCACAGCAACAGATAACAATTGTTTACATTCTCCTTCTGGGGCCCAGCTTCCCAGAAGAGGGAAAATCCTAAAGAAAGGATTTTCCGCAAAAGATGTCTGTGACAGGCTCCCAGCACTGTTCCACACACGCCAGGGAGGAGAGGAGAGTGACAGGTGGGGTCCTCAAAGTCCTTTTCCTGCACAGATCCAGCGGCACCTCCTGCTGAGCGAGATCAAGGGAATGTTTCAGGCACTCCCGGGTTTTTGTGCATCCCTGCCGTGGTGCTGCTGCTCTGCATCCCTGGTGAATTGGTGCTACAGCCCTGAGCACTTGAGGACTGCAAAGCCCTGGTGATAAAGGCACACAGTGCTGCAGAAAGCTCTGCCTCCCACTGCACTTCTATGTATTAAAAAGGAAGGGGATAAAAGGCCCCCACAAATGCCAGGCTCCAGCACCAGGTCTGAGTCATTAATGCGAAGCAGCAGATTCAGTTTCTCCTTAAGTGCAAAATTTATTGCAGCCTGAACTGCTGTACCTTGGGCTGGTGCATGCACAGTGCTCTGTTGATTTCTGTCTGGGTTACTGATTTTCCCTGGAAGATTGAGTGCCATTTGAAAGGTGAATTTGTGGGTTCTGGAACATTCTCAGCTGTGGAGGACAATGGCCATTATTTCTCAGTCCCTTTCCCCCTGGTGGCACAATGTGCAGTTACGTGCTTGGTTTCAGGGCGAACCTGTTCATGCTGGATTCCTTCCTGTAGGAGAGCAGCAGATGAGGATATGGCTCATCTTCTGTCTTTTCCAGCCCTTCCCTAAGGAGTATAATGGCTACATATGGTTTTGTGAGACTTACTCCTCAGTCCATATGGAGAAACTTCTGAGCATGTGTTTACAAACAAAACCACACTTTCCTCAGGGCTGTGAGGGAGACTTCAGGATAACTGCCTGTCCAGGTCTCACTTCTTTGCCAAAACAGATGTTATCATGGGCATTTCCTGCAGCAGGTTTTCCTTTCAACAGCATTTCACTCCCTCTCCTAGTGAATGCCTCTGCATTCATTAAATAGAGTTTCAATATCTCAATATCATGTAAAGTTAAAGCAAACAAACAACAAACCTCATGCATTTTCTCATGGTAGTCTCTGGTTCAGAAAGCAGAGTGGCCCAGGGATTCTGCCAACACCTCCATAGTTCACTGTGCATCCCAGTGATCAAAGGATGCAGCTCTTGTTCTCTCAGTATTACAGGTAAGGTTGGTTTGATTACAATGGATTTGCTTCCAGAAAAAGTGAAAATCCAGTGAAGTACCTCGCACAGACAAGATTCATCAGCCTGGGAAGATCTCATTCTGCTTCTTTGCACTGCATAATATTTACCTTACTTTTTACAGTTGAGTGCTATCTAATAGACTCTGTTTAAATGAAAAAAGTGTCAATTATTCAGTATATGAACAGTATTACAATAGTCCATGAGAAATAACCCAAGAATAATTTGTGCTGGACAGAACTTGGCAGAAGTTGGCAAAGCCAGTATTTTCCTTGAAAAGTATGAAAGATAAAGCCAATGATAATTTTTACATTATTAACAACTTGTGTTTTCTATAAGCACAGTGTAGGTGTATGACATTAAGACTATTTCTCCTGCATGAAAACCTGGCACTCATATATATTTGCTTTATTATGACTGGAAAAGTGAAAATGAAGTGAGGCTAGTAAATATCCTGCTTGTTTCTCACATCTCACTGTGCAGACAAGACAAGCTGCAGTTTGCAGCACTTTATTTCTCTTTCACAGAGCCTTGTCTCTAATTCTGTCTCATTAAATGGCAATACAACACTGAACTGGCGCCATGCACGAGTGCTCCTCTATCACCTGCTTGGGCTGCCCCTCTGTAGCTAAACTGTCAAACACAGCCAGCAGGAATGCCCCAAGTCTGATCAGGATTTCAGATGTGCAGGTGTAGGTGCAGCTCATGTGTCCACTGAGAACAGGCAGCAAGTCACCCTTTGTTTTCTTCAGTAGTTACATTAATACTGCTCAAAGGAATTGAGCATTCAGGTATGGGGTCTTCTGAAAATTAACAGCTATTCTAATCCTGTTGTTTCTATTTCATGTACTAAATAGTAAATTGCTTTTGACTTTTATTGCCCAATGAATTATTCACTTCAAGTGGGAAAGGCAATTTTATAGTATCTCATAAAAAGCATTTTAAACACGTTGGTTATTATACACTGTGTCTACCACAGATTGTTTGGAATGTTTTAACTATGATATGAGATTTTAAATATTGAACATATTGGGTGCCAGTGAATATTTCAGAAAACACAGACAAGCTCTTCTGGCTTCACAGTTTGTATTATTAAACTGTCATAAAGTGGGAAAAAGCCTCTCCTGTCATGAGACTGTCAAAGAGAG